TCAGTATGTATGATTTCCAATAAGTTGGTTGCTCGCTCCATCGTTCCTGAGAACGGAGTCTTGGTCATTTTACCCATGAGGCATGGTTCGCACGTGTCAAATGATTCGTAATCAAGAGACTCTAAAAGTCCGTCAGCATGGAGCTTCTTCATGCGTTTGACACCTATGTGACCAAGGCGGCAATGCCACAAGTATGTGGGACTATCACTAACAATCTTACATCTTTTGGTACTTACACTATGAATATGTGTAGCATTACGCTCGAGATTCATAAAGAATAAACCATTCACCATCGGAGCATGACCATAAAACATATCTCTCATATAAATAGAACAACCATTATTCTCGGATTTAAATGAGTAGCCATCTCGAATTAAACGAGATCCTGATACAATGTTCATGCTCAAACTTGGCACTAAATAACAATTATTGAGGTTCAAAACTAATCCCGTGGGTAAATGTAGAGGTAGCGTGCCGACGGCGATCACATTGACCTTGGAAACATTCCCGACGCGCATCGTCACCTCGTCCTTCGCCAGTCTCCGTTTATTCCGCAGCTCCTGCTGTGTGTTACAAATATGAGCAACGGCACCGATATCAAATACCCAGGAGTCACTACGATTACTGGTAAGGTACACATCAATTACATGTATATCAAATATACCTTTGGTTTTGCCGGCCTTCTTGTCCGCTAAGTATTTGGGGCAGTTCCGCTTCCAGTGACCACTTTCCTTGCAATAAAAGCACTCAGTCTTGGGCTTGGGTCCATTCTTTGGCTTCTTCCCGGCAGCTTGCTTGCTGGGCGCGGCAACTACCTTGCCGTCCTTCTTGAAGTTCTTTTTACCCTTGCCCTTCTTGAACTTAGTGGTTTTATTGACCATCAACACTTGATGTTCCTTCTTGACTTCTACCTCTGCTGATTTCAGCATAGCAAATACTTCAGGAATGGTCTTTTCCATCCCCTACATATTGAAGTTCATCACAAAGCTCTTGTAGCTTGGTAGAAGCGACTGGAGGATTCTATCAATGACCGCATCATCCGGGAGATTAACTCCTAGCTGAGTCAAGCGGTTATGTAACCCAGACATAGTGAGTATGTGCTCACTGACAGAACTATTTTCCTCCATCTTACAGCTGAAGAATTTGTCGGAGACTTCATATCTCTCGACCCGGGCATGAGCTTGGAAAACCATTTTCAGCTCTTCGAACATCTCATATGCTCCATGTCTCTCAAAACGCTTTTGGAGCCCCGGCTCTAAGCTGTAAAGCATGCCGCACTGAACGAGGGAGTAGTCATCGGTACGTGCCTGCCAAGCGTTCATAACGTCTTGTTCTGCAGGGAGAACAGGTGCATCACCTAGCGGTGCTTGTAGGACATAATCTTTCTTGGCAGCTATGAGGATGATCCTCAGGTTCCGGACCCAGTCCGTATAGTTGCTGCCATCGTCTTTCAGCTTAGTTTTCTCTAGGAACGCGTTGAAGTTGAGGACTACGTTGGCCATTTGATCTACAAGACATATTGTAAAATATTTTAGACTAAGTTCATGATAATTAAGTTCATCTAATCAAATTATAATGAACTCCCACTCAGATTTGACATCCCTTTGGTCATCTAAGTGTTACACGATCCGAGTCGACTAGGCTGTGTCCGATAATCACGTGAGACGGACTAGTCATCGTCGGTGAACATTCTCATGTTGATCGTATCTTCCATACGACTCGTGTTCGACCTTTCGGTCTCCGTGTTCCGAGGCCATGTCTATACATGCTAGGCTCGTCAAGTTAACCCTAAGTGTTTTCGCTGTGTAAAACTGTCTTACACCCGTTGTATGTGAACGTAAGAATCCATCACACCCGATCATCACGTGGTGCTTAGAAGCGACGAACTGTAGCAACGGTGCACAGTTAGGGGAGAACACTTCTTGAAATTTTGTAAGGGATCATCTTATTTACTACCGTCGTCCTAAGTAAACAAGATGCATAAAACATAATAAACATCACATGCAATTATATAAAGTAGTGACATGATATGGCCAATATCATATAGCTCCTTTGATCTTCATCTTCGGGGCTCCATGATCATCTTGTCACCGGCATGACACCATGATCTCCATCATCATGATCTCCATCATCGTGTCTTCATGAAGTTGTCACGCCAACGACTACTTCTACTTTTATGACTAACACGTTTAGTAATAAAGTAAAGTAGTTTACATGGCGTTCTTCAATGACACGCAGGTCATACAAAAAATAAAGACAACTCCTATGGCTCCTGCCAGTTGTCATACTCATCGACATGCAAGTCGTGATTCCTATTACAATATCATGAACATCTCATACATGACTTATAGATCATTCATCATTCATCACAACTTTGGCCATATCATATCACAAAGCACTTGCTGCAAAAACAAGTTAGACGTCCTCTAATTGTTGTTGCATGTTTTACGTGGCTGAAGTAGGGTTCTAGCAAGAACGTTTTCTTACCTACGTGAAACCACAAAGTGATTTGTCAACTTCTATTTACCCTTCATAAGGACCCTTTTCATCGAATCCGCTTCAACTAAAGTAGGAGAGACAGACACCCGCCAGCCACCTTATGCAACTTGTGCATGTTAGTCGGTGGAACCGGTCTCACGTAAGCGTACGTGTAAGGTTGGTCCAGGCTGCTTCATCCCACAATACCGCTAAAGCAAGATAAGACTTGTAGCGGAAGTTGACAAATCTACGCCCACAACAAATTGTGTTCTACTCGTGCAAGAAGAACTACGCATAAACCTAGCTCATGATGCCACTGTTGGGGAACGTTGCAGAAAACAAAAATTTTCCTACGGTTTCACCAAGATCCATCTATGAGTTCATCTAGCAACGAGTGATTGGATGCATCTACGTACCTTGTAGATCGCGAGCGGAAGCGTTCAAAGAACGGGGATGATGTAGTCGAACACGACATGATCCAAATCACCGGAGATCCTAGCACCGAACGGACGGCACCTCCGCGTTCAACACACGTACGGAACAGCCACGTCTCCTCCTTCTTGATCCAGCAAGGGGAGAGGAGAGGTTGAGGGAGATGGCACCAGCAGCAGCACGACGGCGTGGTGTTGATGGAGCTGCAGTACTCCGGCAGAGCTTCGCTAAGCACTATGGAGGAGGAGGTGTCGGGGAGGGAGAAGGAGGCAACCAAAGGCCTGGGGTGGATTTGCTCCTCCTTTCCCCCACTATATATAGGGACAAGGGAGAGGGGGAGGCGCAGCCCTTGCCCCTTCCTCCAAGGAAGGGTGCGGCCAAGGGGGGAGGAGTCCATCCTCCCCAAGGCACCTCGGAGGTGCCTTCCCCCTTTAGGACTCTCCCCTTTTTTTCTTCTCTTGGCGCATGGGCCTCTTGGGGCTGGTGTCCTTGGCCCATGTAGGCCAAGGCGCACCACCTACAGCCCATGTGGCCCCCCGGGACAGGTGGCCCCACCCGGTGGACCCCCGGGACCCTTCCGGTGGTCCCGGTACAATACCGATAACCCCGAAACTTGTCCCAATGCCCGAAACAGGACTTCCCATATATAAATCTTTACCTCCGGACCATTCCGGAACTCCTCGTGACGTCCGGGATCTCATCCGGGACTCCGAACAACATTCGGGTTACTGCATATACATATCCCTACAACCCTAGCGTCACCAAACCTTAAGTGTGTTGACCCTACGGGTTCGGGAGACATGTAGACATGACCGAGATCGCTCTCCGGTCAATAACCAACAGCGGGATCTGGATACCCATGTTGGCTCCCACATGCTCCACGATGATCTCATCGGATGAACCACGATGTCGAGGATTTAATCAACCCCGTATGCAATTCCCTTTGTCAATCGATATGTTACTTGCCCGAGATTCGATCGTCGGTATCCCAATACCTCGTTCAATCTCGTTACCGGCAAGTCACTTTACTCGTACCGTAATGCATGATCCCGTGACCAAACACTTGGTCACTTTGAGCTCATTATGATGATGCATTACCGAGTGGGCCCAGTGATACCTCTCCGTCATACGGAGTGACAAATCCCAGTCTCGATCCGTGTCAACCCAACAGACACTTTCGGAGATACCTGTAGTGCACCTTTATAGTCACCCAGTTACGTTGTGACGTTTGATACACCCAAAGCACTCCTACGGTATCCGGGAGTTACACGATCTCATGGTCAAAGGAAAAGATACTTGACATTTAGAAAAGCTCTAGCAAACGAACTACACGATCTCACGCTATGCTTAGGATTGGGTCTTGTCTATCACATCATTATCCTAATGATGTGATCCCGTTATCAATGACATCCAATGTCCATAGCCAGGAAACCATGACTATCTATTGATCAACGAGCTAGTCAACTAGAGGCTTACTAGGGACATGTTGGTGTCTGTTATTCACACATGTATTACGATTTCCGGATAATACAATTATAGCATGAATAAAGACAATTATCATGAACAAAGAAATATAATAATAATGCTTTTATTATTGCCTCTAGGGCATATTTCCAACAGACTTAGCATAATCATGATGGATTACTATAGCTCATTACACAGGGGTGTTACAGAAACTCAAACTAAATCCACCTCAAATGAACATTTGCAATAATAATAGATTTTCTATCATGACATTCCCATGAAATGGACCACGGGTGTCACCACACGAGCTATTGTCAACCGGTCCCATCGACTTTGTAGGCTGGGAAGAGGATGTGCTCACGAGATCGTCGCCGGCAGTGGAGAGTTAGTAGGCCGCGATGTTGGGGAAGGCGCCAATGGAGACAACCAGCTTAGAAGAGAGCCGCGGAGAACCCTATTAAAGCATAATCGTTCATGGCAATAACAAAAAGAAACTTTAAAAGTTCATCATAAAATTAATATATTCATATTTAACATTTAATCACCAATATCTCAAACATTATAATGATTTATCAAATAATAAAAACATAAAATAATACATACCGGTGGTCTTGGGATGCGGTGTCTTATGTCGCAGGGCTAGGGGAAGAAGGGAGGTCATCCGCATCAGATAGTAGAGAGCGGGCTCGATAGGAGCGCCAGGGGAAGGAAAGTTGCCGATCCGGCACATGGGGTTGGTAGGCATGGGGTGGGGGGGCTGTTGTGGGTATAACTGGGCATGCAGTCACCATTGTGTCACCAAAGGGCCCGGTGAAGGGTTGGCTCCCAGGACTACCTGGGGGTGGGTTTGCAAGATTGAAGTTGAAGGCCCGACCGACATCCCCTAGTTCTTTGTGGGCCATGAGCAACCAAGCAAATGTGAGAAGCCCCCCTCCTCTACTCAACTGCGCTGCATGCATCTCTGCACGGGACTTGCCAGCGCAATAGATGAGAAGCCTTGTCCATAGGTCTCTCATCTCCTTCAATGTTTCTGTGCTCGTTAACTCGACTTCAACTAACTCCATCTCTACCAAGAGCTCGTGGACCATAGGAAAAATATCAGCACTAGTACCATGGTGGGAGACATGTCGAATAGCTTTCTGAAGAAAGAATAGCAAGGTGGGTTCTGTAGTACCACTGACAGGCAATATCTCAGGGTATGTCACCAGAAGGTAGAGCATGTAGTTGGACAACTTTCGGCAAGCAGTCGCCAAAGTTTTATCTTGATCATGGAAGGAACGACTTCTTTGGTGTGCTTCTGTGAATATATGGAAGCACACAATAGCATAACCAAAACTTGCATCAAAGTCTGGTAGTAACTTATTCAGCAACAGACCAAGCTTTGGCCAATACCTAGCATCCATGGACGATTCATTTGGACTGTATTGGCAGATCATCCTTATAAGAGAGTCCATGATCTCCTTGTCCACCTCAACATACTTTGTGTCCAATAACTTGCTCATCCACAATAGTGGCTTTATTTCTTTCTTATGGCTGACTACTAGCCCTGTTGTCTTTCTTGTCACTTTCTTCACTAGCTTGGATAGCCAGCTTGACTTCTGATCACAACCCAAGTAGCAGAGAAAATTGTACTGCCCCATGGAATTTGACCACAACGGCCTTCCCTTTGGCCGTCCAATGTTACTGGATAGAAGAAAGGACGAGATGCGAGCGAGCCTATGGCAATTTCGTTGCTCCAACCATGCCCAAGTCCATGGTGACATCAACAGAATAAACATTGCGCAAACTTCAAGATAGAAACCTCCTATGAATAGCACATAGGTGATTGCTAGGTCTACTCTATTGTATTTGTGCTTATTGATCGCTACTCCTACACTGAAGAGCACAAATGCAACCCCCATAGATACTTGAGATACACACCGGAGTATAATGCCACTCCTTGTGCGAAGAACCATGGCCTTGGTGTAGATTTCATCATACATCAAGTCGAGCTCAACCTCAAGCAACTTGGGCAAATCTTCCATCTCAATATGGGATGTGAGTACGTTTCGGTGGTGAGCTTCCATCTGGTGCAAGGTGCGTCCAGCAAAGAGCCTTCGGATACCGGGTGCTGACTTCAAAACAGAAACAAAAATGCGAAGATATCCACCATGATGTGCGAGCCTATTGAAGTCCTTATTGTTTTCATTTCCAATGGTATTGTGGCTAGTGTTTCGATTCAAGTTCTCTTTGATTTCATTTCCAATGCTATTGTGGCTAGTATTCTTTAGGTCTCCGTACATGAGTGCCAATGTTCTCTCCCCATACTTGATAATTCCGGCAATAAAAACAAGTATACCTGGAATAAGCACACTATGGTGGCGGTGACCCGTCGTGGACTCCCAGAAGACATACAAGGCCACACCAACCTGGACCACGAGATTCAATAGATGCCTTAACCACAAGTTGTTATCCTCAATGGCAAATGCAGTGACGGTGTCCTGCCCCCCAAGATGCATGAGGAGGAAAGGTGCCCAGAGGAAAGCAAGTGGATGTGCTTCTGCTAATGTATCCGTTCCACGGATGTCATCCTTGTGCCTTGACAGGAACCCCAAGGCATAAATTGCTACCAAATCTGCCGCCAGATATGCAACCCACATAGAAAACCTAAGTAGTGCACTGATGCTACGTCGCCGAAGTCCACCAGTAAAGAAGAGGAACACCTGTAGTGTAAAACTGAGGAGCACAAGCAGCTGGATTTCCCATTCATTAAGTACTTGGACCAACCTCCCCATGTCTGCTGACTAGATTTATTCTATAGCTCCGAAGCCCTGTCGATACCAACAGTCCATAATTCAGTAAAGTTATCCAATGGCAACGAGAACAAAGTCATGTTCACATGTTTACAAAATGATTATCATATTTTTTTTTTCAGAAAGGGAAAAGCGCAGCCATTGCATTGGTTGATGCGCACAGCCATATGAACATTTATCATACAACTTCCTACTTCTTATCAGCTACTTATTACGCACACTCAATCATATGAAAAAATATATGCATGGAGAAATTAATTACCCCCTCTACATTTTACAATATGTCACTACTGGAATTTCCTTATACGCCGAGTGTCGGGCCCTTCGGCGAGAGCCAAACCACAGACACTTGGCAAACACATATGCGCCGAGCATAGTACTCAGCAAACACATGTTCACGGCAACGAGGTGATGTTGCCGAGAGGAAGACACGACAAAGAAGACACGTGGCAGTTTCCTACTCGTTTGCTTTATCGAGAATAGCTCTCGATAAAGCACGGGCTCGGCTTATGATGTGGAACCCGCCTTTAGGTTGTTAACACATGGCGGTTTCCTACTTGTTTACTTTGCCTAGAATAGCTCTCAGCAAATCACATGCTCGGCGTCGGACGTGGGACCCGCCTGTCAGGTCGTGGACACGCTGCAGTTTGCAATTCGTTTGCGTTGCCGAGTATGCCTCTCGGCAAAGCAGGACTCGGCATAGGCCGTGGGGTCCGTATATCAGGTGGTGGACACGTGGCAGTTTCCTATTTGATCGCTTTGCCGAGAAGGCTCTCGGCAAAGTCTGGGCTTAGCTTAGGCCATGGGTCCGACAGGCACGTGGCAGCAATGTGCTTATTGTTGTTGCCGAAAGGTGTCCCTTAGCTCTCGGAAAAGTTGCGCCACATGGCAAATGCCATCTCCGTCGGTTATCCGTGAATCAGCTTTATTTTGCTAAGAGGCATTGTTTGGCTCTCGAAAAACTGTTTGCTGAGTGCCCGATGTGTGGCTCTCGATAAAATTCTGTTTGCCTGAGATGTTTACGCTAGGTACTTTTTGCCAAGAACAATTTTCAGGAAAGGCATTGCCGAGTATGTATGGCACTCGAAGTAGGTTGTAATTTCAGTAGTGTGTAAGTACAAACTCAACATGGGATTTAAACAAAACAAAAAGAGAAAAGGTTGACAAAGATCGACTAAAGCAACTATTTTGTAATTGACACTGGTGGCGAACACAACTTTGGGTGCTAAGCTTCTCCGAAACTACATTGGTGGCGCATTCACCACTATTGTTTGAAAAGAAGAGATGAAAAACTAATGTACAAATCAAACTGAGTATATATACATATAAGATGGAAGGGTATTGTACGATACACGTATATTACTGAATTTAATACAGTTGCCGCATGCATAGTTCTGATGCAAAGGTGGGGGTCTTCCTCCTTTAAAAAAAACGTATATTACTGAATGGGTAAAATCCTTTTTTTTGCAGGTTTGAATGGGTAAAATCCAATGACTTCCTTATCCAATACATGTTTAGAGAGGAGCTACTTGTAAGATATTATTTCGTGTTCTTCCAAGGGATTTTTCTTCTTCTTCTTCAAAGAGGTTGTTCGGAATGAGTGTAAAATTAGCGTGGTAACTGCCATTTAGCTCAAATTTTGAACTAAAACATACGGCCACACTAATTTTACCATTCCAAAAGTAGCATCAGGTGAGTGCTTCCAAAAAAAAGGACATGTCTTAGTTTTCGCTAAAAAAAAAGGACATGTCTTATGCGACATAGAGCTTAAACCAAGGACACCTAGTGCTCTAGAAACAAGAGACGCGGGGGGGTTCAGAGGTACATCACAAGCAGAACTAAAATCGTAGAGAGAAGAAGATTGATCATTACCTGCTGGTTCACGGATGGTTATGTAGTTGGCCTTTTGGATCGCTTATTGATGATCTTGATTCAGCTGATAATTAAGGTGTCACCGATCATCATACTATCCTCCTTGGAAGCATTACTAAAAGAAATGGCAGACACTTGATTAACTTATCTACCGTAAACAGAGATGCAAGCCTCGCTCGGAAACCAATTATGGAAGTTACTGAGATTAAATAATCTATAACATTGATGCATACCTTAATTAGAACGGAAAGCTGTGCACTAGGATAACTTGCAGCCAAATGCACGAGGATGTGTTTTCCTCCAACTTGGCTGTAGGATGGGTGGCCAAACTGTTTCTGCTTCTGCTTCGTAATAGCTCTAACTCTCCAGTACTACCTTCTCTTGTTGGAGCTGAAAGAAGAACAAGATCCCTAGGTACAGTATTTTTCTTTATACGTTCCTTACAGGTAGAGCAAGGGACGACAGATCTTGTAGGAGCTAGCTGAAGTACTGAATCACTAGTATATTTTGAGATACTATACTACCTCATACAGTACATTGCTTGGAAGAAGAGCAAGCGTACGTAAGAGGATTCCTTTCTTGTAGGAACTGAAAGGATGGAATAGAGGATGGACTGTCGGTGACCTTAATTAGCAGTATGCTTTGAGAAAAGGTATGCCAGCATGCAACACCTTAAGCAATTTACCCATCCATCAACCTATGCACTTTCTTCAGGGCTACGGCATGGATCCGTACGTGGTCGTTACTCACTCCTACGGGCTTCAGGAAGCAGCTGGCTACTGGGTGCAACCGATGGGAGATGGTAGCATGGGCTATTTTCATCCGGTTTGGATGGCGGTCGCGTAATAGGATAGGTCCTTAATGTCCTTTCGTCCAGCCGGTTGTGACTTTGAGTTGTTTATTTTTTATTTTGCTCCTTTTGTGAGCTGTACTTTGCAGACCAGACTTTTTGTTTTGTTGCACTTGAGTTAATAAAGTGACCGCATGCATCTATCCGATGCAGAGGCCGGGGGATAACCTCCTTTAAAAAAATCAACCTATGCACCAAAAGAAACCAACTGAACCGTTCTCCTCATCCCTGTCGCCAGTGTCCGCATACACCTGCGCCATCATCGCTGCCGCCGTGCTTGGCCGGATGCTGGACAGCAGCCTCTCGCCAAGGACTTCGCGAACTTGATTGTAGCCAGGGCCAGTGCCCACCAAGATGCATGAGGAGGAGAGGTAAAGCAACTGGATGTGCTTCCCTCAATGTATCCTTTCCACATGTGTCATCCTTATGCTGTGAGAGGAACCGCAAGGCATAAATTGCTACCAACTCGGCCTCAGACATGCTACCCACATAGAAAACCTAAAGGTCTCTTTGGTGCTGCATCGCCGAAGGCGACCGGTAACGAAGTGAAACACCTGCAGCGTAAAACGGAGGAGCACTAGAAACTGCGTTTCCCATTCATTAAGTACTTGGAGCAAGCACTCTATGCCTACAGATTCGATTAATTATGTAGCTCCAAAACACTGTCGATATCAACAATCCATGATGCAATGAACTTTTCCAATAGTAATGAAAACAGAGTCATGTTCACATTTGCATATAATGTTTATCACCTTCTTTTCTGAAAGGGAAAAGGCTCAGTCTTTGCATTAGTGGATGCACGCAAACACATGGAATGTTTGTCATACTAGTTCCCACTTCTTTTCAGCAAGCTATTGTGCACAATCTATCGGAAGAAATTTTAGAAATTTACCTACTCTCTACATTTGACAGTATGTGAGTTCAAACTCGGGATGGGAACTAAATGTCATAATAAGAGAAGAGTTTGACAAAGATCAAGCAAGACAACCATTCTATCGACTAAATCAGGATCCTACCACACTAGGCCATTTATCTATCATAGGTAATGTTAAATAGCGTAAGGTGTTTCATAAAAAATATTTAGATTCTTGCTTCACTCTAAATGCTAGTTTTCCACAAGTAGCAACAGATGTGTCGATCCACATAACCTCCGGATCGATCCACCACCACCTTCGACATAGGCATAGTGTCGGTCTATAGGACTTTACTGTTGCCGATATGTCGGTTTATATTTCATGTTTTTTGTCAGACTTTTGAATTTGGCTGTGTGCATCTCAGTTATGCAGAGGCCGGGTGTTACTCATAATGTTTTGTATCCCCTTGATGCTACATTCCGAGATAATAAAATCGCCCTTTATCAAAAAAGCAACAGATATGTTGCTTCCAAAAAGACATATTTATGCAATATACATAGAGCCAAATACACCTACTGCTCCATGTCTCGGAGACACGGGAGGGACAAAATTCATTCAGAAACACTTCACAAGCATAATTAAAACTTAGAGAGAACATCAATCACGAATGATTGTGTACTTGGCTCCTTGGGTCGCTTATTGATGAACTTGATCCAGCTGGTAATTAAGGCCATCAATTCGATGCAGAGCCCAGGGATTTACCCTTTTCATAACAAATAGAGACGATAAATAAGGCACCAAAGATCATACTAGTCCTTGGAAAGCATTATATTACTTTAATAAATGGAATATACACTTATCTAAAAGCAGAGAGGCGCACAAGGATGTATACGTGACTGAGATTGAATAATCGTTTTAGAAAAAGGGTGTATTTTATTGGCTCAAAAAGGAGTATTAAGTAGATCCAAAACATAATAAGCACATATCCGGTCTCTGCGTAGTTAGGAATAGGATGCACATAGCCAACATCAATTCCCACACAAGAAAAAAACACGTAGACAATTAGGAAAGTCATAGAAGATCAAAACTATGCGCAGGCGTGGGAAAAAAAAAAGGTCCAAAGCGATTAGATCTGCGGTCGGCAAGCTATAACAATGAAGATATACACACCAACCATTTCATGGCACCTTCGATTACTACCAGCCAAAGCCAAATGCACGAGGAAGTGTTTCCTATTAACTTTGCTGCTTTGTTGTACCGTGGGAGCCGAAACTGCTTCTGCTTATGCTTAGAAAGAAGATCTCGAGATATTGAACATTTGTTTAATTACGTTCCCTCGGACGACGTACCTTGAGTGCTACGCCGGTGTGTGTGGTCTTCATCGGTTTCCCTTAATTAACCGATGC